AGTGGTGAATTAATCTGTACCTCCTACTTAAAGTTTATTTTAACCTTCCTTTATTCAAGTTCATCCAAATTCCAAAATAAATCTATAATATGCTGACATTGGTATCCAGCCACGCAGATAGTTTTGATTTAATGTATTAAACTGAAAAATTGCATTTGCTAAACTATTTATTTGGAACAAAAAAGTCCCACTAAAGTGAAGCCTGTAGATTATTCAAAGCAACCAGTAAGGATGTTCATTTTTCAGATGTACAGGTGGATAGCTCAAAAACTGAACAAATGAAACCAACTTCAGGTGGACAAATGTGTAGTTCTGTGATCAGGTAAACTGGTTTTTAAGCTTTACAAAGTTGTATTGACTGTAACTGAACTGGAAGTACTGTATAAAGTCACAGCAATATATATGTGTCCCTCCCATGCATTTATCCTGCGTCTCTGTACAACATCCCCTTCATCCATTCGCCAGGCAGCAACACTGCAGGCCCCTCAACCTTACACCTTACACAATAGCACCAGATTAGCATATTACAACAACAAAAATGTGTCTGAACAAAGTATTTAGTGACCTGTGCAACCTCAGCCACTGTAAAGACAACAAAACTTCCCTTTTCTAACAATTTCCTCTCGGGGGCTGGAGCCAGGGAGCAGCAGCGGTTCAGTGAGCCTGCAGCAAAACTTCCACACTGGCAACATATGAATCATAAAAGTGAGCCTACACTCTGTGCCAGGACACAAAACAAACCTGGAGAGTGACTCACACCCTTACGTTTCATTTGGAACAATTCGATACTGATTAGATAATACTGACGGTGAGCGCTTTCAGCAAAATGGCCTTGGAAATGTTTTTAGCTGCCGCGGTGGCCTGGTAGTGGTTGAGGGCGAAGAAGAGGGCGGGAGGGAAGCGTTGATGTGGGTGGCTTCGCAGAGCCTTTGACTGTAGCTGGCTGCCGAATAATGATGGCTGTTGCGTAACCGTCACTGAGTGTAGACTGGATGTTTTTTTTTAAATCAGGAGGGTCGAGGTGATGTAATGTCTGTCTGAGCCGAAGGGTCATATCAAAGAGCCGCCACTAGGAGGAGAGAGTGGACCTGAACTGGCTGCATGTGAGGATGGTGAGGATGATGGGCCGGATGTGGACTGATAAGGCCAGAGGTGTGAACACTGCAACAAATCTACAGCCGTACCAGTGTTTTAATCTCAGTTTACAGTCGGAAATGTTCTTGAAACAAGTGGAAAAATCTGCCAGAACCATTTAAATGTTCTGTGTATTGTTATACAATCTTTTAGCCCCAATTTTAAGTCCCAAAGGGCAAATTTTATTTTAGTATAAATAAATGTTTAATGGTTTTATCCAAATGAGTTTCAGTATCTTGGAACACTAGAAACACAGCAGAAGATTTCACTTGATCCTAGAAAATACATTAAACAAGTAGATTTGAGTTTTAGGATTCAGTTATTAACGAAAACGACTTGAGAAAATTTCTCAGCACATTCTCTCAAGTACAATATACTGTAGTTTTGAGGATTTATAATGCTTATTATAGAGGTCTTGAGCCTTTTAAACTTTCACTCTGGGATACTTTTTCCTCCACAGAAATATTATATTTCTATTCCAGTTCACTCACAGTATCTCATGGCTTACTTCCTACATTCAGCTTTTACAGTCGGCATGGGATAAGCCTATAAAATGTTTGACTGTTTCAGGGGAAATCTCGTATCCTAAAACTTTTCAGGAACTCTGCTCAACTCGACTATGTCCTTTGGATTAGGGATTCTTCTCAGTTTTTAAAATAACATGTAATCCTTTAACTAATCTGGGATAATACAACCTCAAATTTAGCCCATTGTCATTTTTGATGTATTGTATGTATCACATGCTAAATGAAGTTAATAGAGCAATATAAACATATTTTATTATCAATAGTTTGTGTAGTGTTTTTTTTTTTTAGTGTTTTTTCTTTTTGATATCACTATGGTTTCCTAAGTAAAGGATTTCATTACCTCTACTGCCACTGACAAATGTATAATTATATATACTGTGATTTTAGGATAATTGTTCCACTTTCTTTTGAAGAATTGTCTTGCAAAACCCACTTACAAAGTAAAAAAAATGTAATGTTCATCCTTCAATATCCATAAAAAAGAAGCATTCAGTGTGTAAATGTGTTGTCAGTCTTTCTAGAAAAGACGTTTTATCTTTTTAAACGTGACAGGATTTGTTTCTGTTGTCAATCATACCGTCAGAGTAGCTGTCACTGTTTTTGTTAGATGGTGGAATGTATCGTTTCAGCTATCACCATCATCATCTGCAGTACTTTCTTATTTTTTTCCGTGCAATCAGTCATCATAATGCTGCTGTTAGATTAAAACCTCTAAATGTCAAAGACATCACATTTTTTTGCAGTTTAATGAAAATACATTCTTAACCACTTTAATGGGTTTTATCAGCCAGTCATGTTGGAAAAATCTCTTAAAATTGTCAAGGTTTGCACAAAACAGGGAAGCATTTATTACTTTTTGATCACCTTAAAAAATAAAAGGTAAATTTTACTTTTATTTGTGCTTCAGTTGATCAGACTTCTGGGCTTGAAGGCCTTAAGTCTCGCTGAATCTATCAAATACTTCTAGTAAATTCTAGAATCTAGTACATTTCTAACATATGACATATATATACGTTGTCATATTTTTCTAAATGATAAATATGATAAGTAGAAGATGTAGAAATCACATCATGTGAGCTCCTGTGGCCCGGTGAGTGACGAGGATATTTACGAGGTTCGGAGTCGATGTGGGGTCTTTGTGCTGGAGCTGCCCTGGGTGGCAGAGGCCGACGGATGGATATGTGATCAACTCAACGTGAGTGATTTTTCCCTCTTCAGCACACACAGAGACTTCGCCCGCACCGGCTGATGAATCACTCCATAGATGTGACAAATATATCGGCCTCATTCCTCGCAGGAGAAATAATGGTCAGAAAAATGAGCTGGAGCATTTCGTGGACTCCCTTAGACAGACCGACCGGGACAGGGTGTGATATTTGTCTCTTTGGCTGCTCAGTTTGTATTTTGAACTTCAAAAAAGGTCTTGTGTGGAATACAGTAGCTAGAGCAGGACAGTACGTTGTGGAATTCATAACAAAAGAGAAAGGAAGGAAAGTTGATTTTTTTTCAATTCCAGCACATAGCTCCACCAAGTTCTCCCTTGGGGATCATTAATTTGACCCAGTCTAATTAGTTTGTTATTGCACCTTAAATGTTAGAATAGTATAACATTACTACTGCGCTTGCTGCTGTTCGTGTTTTTCTTTGATACACTGACCTCAGGGCAGAAGAAACCCAATTAAAAAGCCACAATAATAGTTGCATGGCTGCATGGAATGTCAATTGAAGGCTGTTAATCCACAAGTGTGGGCGAGGACCCATGAGAAGCCTGGCTGGTTGGATTGATGGTTAGAGAAATGCTCATTGAAAAAATGTATGAATTGATAATTTGAACGTCATTAGTGTGTACTGACAAAGTCTGAAGTCAATCCGATCAATTCTCTAGGAGGAGTTTGATACATTAGAGGGCCTGGAAATAGCAGAAATGGCGCCAATGTTTGACATTAAATAAAAATGGCCGACTTCCTGTTCGATTTAGGTTATGACTCCGGAAGGCTTTTGTGTACATTGTGACATGATATATGTGCCTAACGATTTTCCAACTTGCCAGTGAAATGGGACACCGGGGCTGTTTTTTTAAGTGTTTAAGCCACGGACAGGCCATTTGACGAAACGTGAAGATTTTTCAGCGAGACATTCTTAAGAGAGTTTCCTTAAAACAGAACACCTGAAAAAAGAAGAAATGATGCCATTTAAGATTAAATTTGACTGTGCTATGGGACATTTTCTGAGAAAATATATTTTGTACAAAAAGGTAGAATTGCTTTTATGTTCTGTATTTCTCTTTCTTAAATTTTTTTGCTGCTTATTTTACCTTTTTTTTTTTTTTTTTATGTTGTTACTGAAACTGAAGAGGTGGACCGCACAGCTTTCAAAGACAAGCTCAAAACCTACAGTGAAAGAGCAACAATTTAAATCCATCAACCTGAAATGAAAACCACTTTCGTGAATCCCTGAAAACATCTTGAATGTTTTTCTTCCTGTCGACAGCTTTAGGATAGGACCTGCTCCATTAACGATGTTGCCATATTTTATAATAGTGTTACAGTAGCAGTAGCACTTCCTATAGCAGCGCACAATACTTCCTGGAGGGGAACCTGGTAATATATCTTCCTACTGGGCCTTTAGTCTGAATTACAGCAGGAAAAACAAAAGGTTAATCGCATTGGGAGACTCCGCTCAGCCTCCGACCACCCAGCTTCTCTCCGTCGCTCCCTCAGTGTTTCAGTTCAAGCTGCTTTATTGGCATGAATGTTGGATGAACGGGGTGGGGTGGGGGGGGGCACCTTTCCAAAGCACCAATACAGATGTCCTTCTGTCCCATTTCTGTCTGTGTTGTCTCTCTTCTTGCCTTTCTCGCTGCTCCAGTTCCCGTCACCCTCAATTTACATCGATCACGACAATATGCGTCGCAATCAGCATACGTCGAATCAAAATGTAAATGTATCACAAACGAGGCTGCTGGAAATGCATTTGCTCGTCTGAGAATCACGTATCAGAGCGTCCTCTAGTTAGATGGCCAGAATCCTCTCATCCCCGACCCCCTTCTCTTCATTTCCCAGCGTGCTTAAATGCCGCCGGGTGCATTACATTGAGATTCAAGAGGTTATCTCGCAGTGGTGATGGGGATTGCAGCAGCCTAAAGGATCGCCACAGGTTAAAGTGTTTTTTTTTTTTTTCGAGCGTCACGTATGGCTGAGCTTTAATGAGCACAACTCCTTTTCTCCCTCCGTCTGAACAACAACACCTCGCCACCATGGAAAATAGATTCTAAGGATGTCTTTTGTCAATCTTCTCACTGTGTGTGTGTGTGTGTGTGTGTGTGTGTGTGTTTTACAGGGTGGTGGGCCCCGCTGTGACCTTCAAAGTGAGCCCGAACACTCACAACGTCAGCACCACAGATGTGGCCAACGTGGCTGGTAGGTTCTCCTTGGCTGAGTAATGTTGTCTTTATACTGACAGAGAAAAAGACAGGCCATTATCATTGGCTTTCCGCTGCACCTGAGGCCCCACAGGAACATTTTTCAAAACTCATGACTCCTCAGCAAGATGTCTGTTTGTGGGTTTTTTTCCCTCCCGCTGTGTATTCTGCCGTACCCACACTGGCACTTCATGGCGAGTTTTTCTATTCCTTTGTGTTCAGTTTGGTTTAGTTTGGGTTTACGTATCTGGTATTGGCCCATTCTGAAAGGAAGCCAGCAAGGTTTTTCTGTTGTGTCGCAAATCTCCAAGCAGCCACGTTTGGCTCCATCGTGGAAATCCATTGGACAGTTGAGTGTGTGCCTAAAAGACCGAAATAAAGAGAGGAAATGTGTCATGTTTGGGGATATGAGTTTGTTCATTAATGGCGTTGGCAAATATGAAAAGTCTAAAAGATTGAGTTTTTTCAAAATGGAGACACAATGTGGCCAATCAGTAGGGATGTGCGTCTACATCACTGAGACCAAAATTAAAGATAGATATGAAGCAACTATCAATGTGATAAGATTCACTCCTATTGCGAGTCAGTGCGATTGGACACGACTTGATACAACGTGATACGATGCAATTGAAAAGAATATGATGCCAAGCGATTCAATATGTTTAAGATTTTTATTTCTTTGGTTCTTCTTAACTTAACTTCTTAACAGTTTAGAGAGGAGGAATCAGTCTAAATATAAAATGATTGGTCACATTCAAAAAAAGGCATAGGACCATAAGACCGATTAATTGGTCGGCCGATCAATCGTGCCGATTATTCGGCATTTTGAGATAATTAGCATCAGTCGCTGTCTGTGGTCTTGAGGCCAATAAATTAAAAAAATGTCTTCAGACACATGTGCTGGCAGCTTTGTCAGTGTGGCTGCTGTGGAGCGATGTTAGTGCTCTTGTGAGTTTAGAGAAGGTGGAGAAAAGGTTTCGAGCCCTGTACAATAACTCATACATCCTGCTGTAAATGTGCCTCAATTCCCTATAGAATAGAATAATAATGATGGAAGAATTGTACATTACTTTTTTGGTTTTGATATCAGCTTTATATATCGACCTGTTCTCTAAATATCAGAATTGGCATCGGTCGTTGAAAAAAACATATTGACCACCAGCCTCTCAGGATTTACATCACATTAAAGATGTTGAGATACCACAGGGTCTTTATTTCCAACACAACACTACTTGCTCTGCTAACACTACCTACCTTCTGCTAAATATGTTAGCTAACGCCCCAGGTAGCCAAAATGGCTTGCCAAACAGGGGCCAAAGTCCTGGTTTCCAGAACTTGTAATGAATGACCTACACTGTGTTCTCTTCTCAAATTGATCCAGGTCCACAACCCCTGGTAGACCTAGTTAACTAGCAGAATCTGATTTTCAGTTATATACCACAGTTGACTGTGCTCACACATATCCCAGATTGATTGTAAGTAACTCTGAGTAACAATACATAAATCACTGCCTCTGATTTTTTGAGATTTCACTGATTGGGGAAGGTTGATCAAACAAGTGATAGGAACTCACATTTTGAATTTATTGCCCAGATTGGGGTGGAAAACATTATCTTGTGCTTTTTGTTTGACTTGATTAACTTTGGTCTAAACCAGCTAGTCTCATTTGAAAGAAGATCTCAGATTAACTTAAATCAACTGTGTGCAACTGTAATCAGGGTAACATGAAAACGCTAAAACTACATTTTACCCTATGAAAGTGGCGCTCCAGTATCAAAAGAGAAAGAGGAGCAACAAAGATGGAGCAGAAACAGGAAAATCACACAAGAGAATTATCCCAACTGCAACAAACATTACCTTTGTGAAGCATTCAGTAAGGTAATGTTGTTTGTTAATTGAGACAGTAATTTTGTGTTGCATTATTTTGTTGTATTTTTACATTCGGGATCAGGTTTTTTTCCGGTAGGAGCGTGTTACATAGTAGTTAGTCTGCAAAAACAAGAAGGATGATGATAAATGCAAAGCGTGACACCAGCAATGTGAAGGACAAGCTGCTCATCTTCCACTCTTGGTGTTCATATGGAGAAGCTAAATTCAGCAGAACGGTACATTTATGTTCTTTGTGATCAAAACCAGGACTCAAAACCGGGACGCGCATGTAAACCTTCTCATCATCAGGTGTTCTGTCCACCACCTTTCTCCCACTGGGGAAGGCAGTTTCTTCAGCGACTGCGTTTCAAGATCCTCAAATCAAAATGACTCAGTTGAGCCTGTTCTGTCACATGAAGAGGGTCCCTGTAATAATCTCTGAGTGCAACCAGCAGTAAAGACATTGTGAAGGTGTGTGGGAGTGTGTGTGTGTGTGTGTGTGTGGTGTGTGTGTGTGTGTGTTTGTGTGTGTGTGTGTGTGTGCACTGGGCTACAGTGTGACTCACGGTAATGAGGCGAGGGTGTTGATGAAGTGGGGAATAAAGAGAGGAGGAATGTTTGCCATTAGCCAAGCTGTCAGTCCAGAGGGAGAGAGAGAAAGAGGAGAAGGTTCCTGATATTCCCTGGGTGCCGCCAATTCCCAGAGTCCAACACCACACACCACCCTTCCACAAATACTTACATGAGTAGCTCCACTTCTATTTTTTCCCCCCAACATCTCAATCCCTGCCTTGATAATTTGCAAAACCCAACCTCCCCTGCACCCACCACACACACACACTTTGTGCTGATTATGCAACGGCTTCTCTCCTGTTTTTAAGTGCTATTGTTGGCGTTCTCATTTCCCGCCCGCCGCTCCCGCTGGCTCTGCGGGGTCACGGATGAGCCTCGATTGTTATTAATGCAAACATTTGACAGAACGTGCTCGAAATGAAATATGGCGTCCTCTCCGCTAAAGTGCAATAGTGTGGGCGGGCCATCTTTAAAGTGTCGTTTGTCATATTCAACTAGAATATCAATCCATCCCAAAGCGTACATTATCCCCCCTGGCCAGGGTTTATAGTGCTTTTCTGAAACATTAAGCTTTACACGGCCATTGTAATGGCGTCGTTTTATCATCATTTATAGCCGCTCAGCAGCGGATGGTGGAGATTGAACGTCTATCTCTTCCGTCACAAACTTGTGTGTTTTGGTGAAATGCTTTTGGCAGCTGTGTTAAAAATAATTCAGTTTTATTTGATTTAATCTCTGCGAACACATCAGTAAGACATCAGCGTTTAAACATTGAAGTATGGACAGCGGTGGAAGGAGAATTCCTGCAGTTTGTGGTGCTGTTGAACTGAACTGAGAGGGGTTTCTAGTAACCGGGAAATTAGTCATGAGACAACTGAAATAGACAACTGAGATTTATTTTTTATTTTATTTATTTAATAAAAGTTGAAGATATGAAATACAAATCTGAGAATATTGACATTATATATTACATACCGTAATGGAAAATGTAATAAAACTAAACTAAAACCTGTCGATGCTGCTGCTGACTCCATCTTTTGTTTCAGATATGTTTTGTTAGGAAGCTCCATTGAATATGAATCTGGTGGAATCAGTCTAATGAAATAATTACCTTGTCGATTGCATTTGTTCCCAAACTTGAAACCAAACTCAACAGACTTGTAAGATAGACAGTGCTTAATGAATACTCACTGCCAAATAAAACATATAATAATAATAATAATAATAATAATAAGTATGCTTATTTATTAATGTATTAATTATGTATATGTGTGTACAGAAAGATGTTTATATTTATATTGTGTATTATTATTTTTTGTCCATACAAGTCAGTATTGCAAATAGAATGATTAATTATGGCAATTAGAGAGTTGTATCATTATATTATTGAATTGTTTCTCTTGATGCATTAGCATTTGCAGTATTATACACTATAAATTATTATAGGGTTTTATCTCTATTGAAGCATTTTACAAGCTGATAATATATTTTATATGAAAAATCTATAGCTGTCAAATAAATGCAGCGTAAGTAAAGAGTAAAGAGTAAAAAGTATTTTCTTTCTTATAGAGTACTATGAGCTGAAAATACTCAAGTATAGGACACTATTAGAGTAAATATATCTACATAAATGTACTTCCTTTATGTAACTCTGTAGGCTAATTTGCTTATTTGATGCAGAAAACGAAGTCAGTTCTGAATCTCACAGGAGACCTCATCATCTTTCTTACACCGGATCAATTCTGACCCCGGCCTGCGGGTGCCAAAAGGTCCGATTAACGCAGCCATGCCCGCCAGACCCGGTGTTGCATTTTAAGAAGCCACGTTACCACTTCTGTCACGCGCGCCCGTCCATTGTGAGCAGCTCCGAGGCCACCGGGGGCCATTGTCAAACGTGGGGGTGGATGTCAAGATGGTGGGCAGCGAGGTGGTGACCCTCATTGTCCAGCCGAGGGTGGGCGGGGGACCCAGAGGCTACTTCCAGCGGTGCGTCACGGCCGTGAGAACGGGACCCTGTCAATAGGCCGGGGGTCAGGGTCAGGACAGCGGGCAGCTCAATTAGCACTTAAAGCAGGAGGCGAGCAGCTGAGATAGCCTCATCCCTGCGCCGGCTGTTCTTCTGACTTCTACTTTTTTATCCCACCAGCACTTGTTTTTGCATACATGCTAATCATGGCTCTCAGTGTGAGGATAGTTACTCACACATACCCAAAAGCTGTCCACTCCAGGGATTACGGACGGTTAGGACAGTTGGTCAGTTTCAGTCTGTGTGTCCTACCATCGCAGTCTTTTCTCCAGTTAAACCAACCCGGCTTTGTTAGAGGCTGACAATAGCTGGTTGCTCAGTGAGTCAATGTTGCATCTGAAATTTGATTTGTGTGTTGACGTGTAAATAATTTTCTGGCTGAGAGGTCACTATCAGTTTAATAAGCTAAAGAGACATTGTCCCCCCTGAAGAGGGGACACCAGTGAATGCCTAATTAAATGCTAATTAATGGAGAAATCCTTGGAAAAGTGGCAGGAAGTTCATTTCGTTCCCATCTAGTTCACATATCA